GGTTGGAGGTTCGAATCCACCCAGAGGCACCTCAGAAGAAAGGCCTGGCAACCTACTTCTGAAAAATCAGCCATGGAAAACCCTATGGAACACAGTTCTACTCTGACACACATGGGGCCACTCTGAGTCGAAATCGACTCGACAGCAACAGGTTTTATATACAACATAATTTTCTAGAATTTGGAAAAGTACATACTCAGACTTGAATGCTTAGTTTCAACTTTGGTGCCTTCCTCCCCTCTGTTCCTGACATCTAGCAGGCACTGTTGGAGAACATTCATGAATGTCACCTGCAGCTTAGGATTGCTACCTAGGAGGCAGAATTTCAAACTGTAATATGAGTACTTCTTCTCTCATCTCTTAAGCAATCTCTCTCTTTTTTATTGTGGTGAAAACATATACACCAAAGCATCTATCAACACAACTTCCACATTTACAACTCAGTGACATTGATTCCATTTTCCATGTTGTGCCACCATTTTCACTAGCTCTCACGCGATCTTACAATGGTCACTGGGTAGCTTGCCAGTGCATGAGATCACAAGACCTTCTAATTCATGAACAGAAAGATGTTCAGCCAAAAAGCAGAACGTGTGATCACAATTCTTTCTGTAAATTGCCAGTGGTTTTAATCAGCCATGTGAGCTGGAGCCGTGGAGTGTCAGAACTGGAAGGGACCTGCATTCATTTCTAGGTCTGCTGTAACAAACTACAAACGAGGGGCTTCTAAGAACAGAAATTTATTGTCTTGACCATTCAGGAGGCCAGGAGTGTGAATTCAGAGTGTCAGGAGAGCCATATTCTCTCCAAAGGCTCTAGGGGATGAAACTTCCTTATCTCTCCCAGTTTCTGGCAGCCCTAGGCATTCCTTGGCTTGCAGCTGCAGCATAACTCTGCAGTCATGTGGCTGTCTTCCCTCTGTGTGTCTGTGTCTCCCGTCCCCTTTTATAAGGATACCACTCAGATTAGATTAGGACCCACCCTATTCCAATATGACCTCAGGTTAACTGATAACTTCTTCAAAGACCCTATTTTCAAATAAGGTCACATTCACAGGTACCAGGGATTAGGACTTCAAAGTAAATTTCTGGAGGGATACAATTTAGTCCAGAACATATTCATTGAGCACACCCACTACTACTTCTTCCCCCACCTCTAGAATATTCCCTTTCTAGGTACCTTCTTTCACAAGCAAGTCTAACCTAACCTAAGGGTCTCCTTCCAAGAATCTCACACTTTTAAGCTGACAAAAACCCACTGCCTGTCAAATTGATTCCAACTCATAGCCACCCCATCTGTTACACAGAACTGCTCTATAGGGTATTTTTTTTTGGCTGTAATCTTTACAGAAGCACATCATCAGGCCTTTCTTCCACAGCAGCACAGGAATGGGGTGGGGGAGGTTCAAACCACCAACCTTTCAGTTAGTAGCCACGCGCAAACCGTTTGTGCCACCCAGGGACCTTAGCTGTCGGAGGAGGGCGTTTCCCAGCGTTCTCGTTTCCTGTGCTGTTATTCTCTAGTTTTTCCAGGCTAGCCATGGTCACAAGTCCTTTCTCAATATATTCCATTCATTATCTCAGCACGCACACCAGTGCCCACGCTAGGTACTGTCCTCGGCACTGGGGATGCAGACATGATAGGAAACGTCTCTCACCGCCAGCAGTTCGGTCTCCTGAGTGAGACAAATAGGTAAATGAACACCTGTTAGCCCTATGATGCATGTTAGGAGAGGTGTGTACAGGTGCTGCAGAATTAGGGAACGCACTTAAATCACACCGAGGGTGGGGGATAGGGCGATGCATCACAGAAGGTGTCCTGAAGGAGGTGACAGCTAAACTGAGTCTTCAGAAGGACAAATCGGAATGAACTAGGTAGAGAACGGCAAAGGCTGGCAAGCAGGGGAGCAGGGTATCGAAAAGCAAGGAGATAGCCCCATGTCTTCTGGCTTTAGCATGGAACAGGGTGGGAGATGAGGCTGGAGGGTAGGCAGGGGCCACCTCTTGAGCCAGTTACACCTTGCTGAGGAGTTTGGAATTGATCCTGAAGGTAACTGGAAGCTGAGGGTAGAATGCATCCGACTTGCATTTTAGAAAGATCTGAAGGACAGAAAATTACAAAGATGGGGGATGCAAAGTCAAAACACAAGCCACTTTAAGATAAACACCTGATGTACGTCTCATAAAAGAACAGTCGTGCCCGAAGCCACTCTTACTCTCTCACACGGCTGGGTGAGGGATTCTTCTCTTAGCACCATTACCAGGAAGCCTGGCAAGAAGAGGAAACGCCTCCCACCACACAAGGCACCGCCTCTTCCTTCACCCAGGAATGTGGATCGGAAGAAACCTACCACCAAGGCAGGAAGAAGAACTTTCTCTTCTGCAATCTAAGACTTCACAGAGAGGTTGCGTTTCCTGCCATCCCAATTTCCCACTCAGAATTCAGAAAACATTTTTCCCAGAAAGACAAATGATAAATGTTGCTGTTTTTATATATAGGGCTCAACTGATTTATGGAGGAAAGGTGTTTTGTGTGTACATGTGCATTAGCTGTTGAACATTATCATTGTCTTCCTGGGAAAATGAATGACAGATTGGCTTTCAAAACACCGACCATTTGCCAGTTGTGATTTGTGCGTGTCTAAGCAGAGAAAGCAGGAGCAAAAAGGATGGCAGCAAAACGGTAGCCGTTAAGTTGTGATTAAACTCTTCCATAAAGAAGGGAGTCTGGGGGCAATTTAGGAGCAACTCAGCTGACCATAATAAAATGCAAATTGAAGTCAGCTTTAGGCGGCTGTTCTGGCCTTTCCGGGGCTAAGGAAGGCTACATGCACTTCCAGTAGCTATCCTAGGCCTGGCACACAGCAGGTGCTCCATCAATGTTTGGAAAAGGGAACTGGATGTGTTGAAATGGATCTCCAGGCATATGTCTCCTGGTGAACCAAAACTTTAAAAAATGATGGTTCAATGAGGCTCTGAGATTGTGTGTGCTAGAGGGAGCAAGAAAGAGCAAGAAAGCAAGAAAGGGAATAAGCAACCAACCACTTGCCCTTGAGCCCATTCTTGTCCATTCCGACTCTTGGCGACCCCTTATGTTTCAGAGCAGAACTGTGCCTGTTGAGGTTTTCAAGGGCTGTGACCTTTTGCAAGAAGGGACAGCATGACTTGGCTCAGAAGGACAGTGAAGAAGAGGGTGTGGTGAGTTCCTGCATTCCTGCTCATGGGACAAGGACTGCTTACTCTTAGAGGCAGCAGTTATTATGGACATGAGGTTGCCTTGGTTGACCCTCAATACAATGTCAGTAAAGAAGATCAACTTAAATAAATTAATGCCAGTCTCATGACTTACTGCATATTTGTTTTCACAGTTGATCTGCTGATTTGAAGCTAAAACATAGTGGCCTTCTTCCCTCTGATGCGTCCATCACTCAGAAGGCCCTGGCTTCCTCTGATACAATTTCAAATCTTTCAGAAATAACTTTCCAATCGTTTTCACTAGCAGCCATCAAATCTAGCCAGAGCTTCTTTCACAGTGCCTCTCCTCGGACCATTCTTTCTCTACTGACCTCTCTCTGGCCCCTCCCCGTTCAACCCACCTTGATCACTGAGGGCAAATTTACCTTCTTAAAACAATGCTCTGATTAATTACGGCTCTTTTCAAAACTCTCTCACTGCCTCCCAGCCACCTGTGGAATAAAGTCCAAACCTTTAGCCTTTTAAGGCCCTGTAGAATCTCCACCCATAAATTCCACCCATACCACACCCCTGCATGCAAGGCAACATAGTATCTTTGGAGTCCTCTGAATTAAAAATAATAATAATAATAAAAAGTTGTTATTAAGTGGATTCCAACTCAGGGTGTCTCTACTTGTGTCAGAGTAGAATTGTGCTCCTTAGGGTTTTCAATGGCTGATTTTCTCTGGAAATAGATGTCAGGCCTTTCTTCTGAGGGACCTTGGGTGGACTTGAACCTCCAGCCTTTGGATTAGCAGCTGAGGGCGGTAACTGTCTGCACCACCCTGAATAGGCTGTCTTTATTCTTGCCACTGTGCCGTGTTCGGACCTCAGTAGCCCCAGAACCTCCATTCCTCCCCAACTACCTTAAAAGCCCGTTTCTGAGTTTCAGCCCACGCCCCGCTCGCTCCTTTCAATCCCTCTCTTATTTGCACGGGATTATTCTACACATCTCCAGTTCTGGGTGGTGTCAAAGGATTCGTGCTACCCACCCACTAGCCATGAGCAGTACATGACAACCGGAAGGCCCCAGAACAGTCTCTGGCACCCCCTGGGCGCTCAATAAATGTCTGTTAGTTTTGCTGAATAAATTCAAGGCATTTGACTTTGTTAAAGACTACCACCCCTTTTTCCCCTAGGCCAGGGACTTTCCTCCCCCCAGGTGTGAAAAAGCATCAAAATATTTTAACTTTGATAAAGTTAGTTTTAGCATATAAAACGCAGAACAACTTCTTTAATCCTGCAAGAAATGAGCACCCCCAACCCTCCCTCCCCAAACACCCACCCAGTATTGGATTTTAAATTCCTTGAAGATACTGCACTGGGTTCGTTTCTTACTAAATAAAACTGCATCTTCTCTGTAGCGTAAAGGTAACCTTACCTTTAGCCAGGCAAATCACCAACGAACTCTCCATTCGAGAAAAAATGTTTTATAAAATGGAGGTGTGAGGCTAAAACGTCTAAAGGCAGGAACAGCACAACAGGTGCTGAGCTGCAAAACCAGCACCCTATAAACACCCAAACAGACCTTCTCAGCGAGCCAAATGCTCTTTAGCTTATTAAATGTTCTTTTAAGCTGTTGTTGCAGGGGCGTTTCGAGGACAAAATGCCCCCTCCCCTCGGCCATGCCATTTTTCGCCCATTGCATACAACGGAGTGCGTGTCTGTCCTCTTTATCTGGGCTCAATCTTGATCGCACCCAGTCATCTTGTTCAGTAACCGGAGCGACCACGTTTCCTTAAATCAGCGCCCCAAGGACTCCACGCGGGAACTACATTACCCAGCGGCCCCCGCGCCCTTCGCAGGAAAGACGTCTGCGCACTAAGATACTCAGTTCCAAGTTTGGAGCTTTTAGCTGCCAGCTCTGGCCCATCATGTAGCTGCAGCACAGCCTTGCCTAACGTTGCAACTGGGGGAAAAATCACTTTCCAGTCTGTTTTGCAAGGTGTGCATTTCCATCTTGGTTCTCTGAAAGTCCATCTGCTGCATCGGTCAAGAGAAACTCCACTTGCATGAAGATTGCACGCCTGCAGCTTGCATCTTTGTTGCAAAACTAGCTACAGAAGAGAAGCAAGGCAAAGTCTTTTGTGCTCCCCTCCCCCATCAAAGGAAAGGGGAAAATGTCTCAGTCGAAAGGTAAGAGTCTATTTGCATTACTTGCAAAAATGCAAAGGGTTGTGCATGCATGTATGAATGCATGGATGCAATTTTCGCCTGGCGATTGCATTTTTAAGTTTGAGGTTTTCCACAGCTCAGTTGCATTTCCTGTTTAGTATGTGTCTTTTTTTGCAGACACAGAGAGTTCCTGTAAGGCAGGGCTTGCAGTTCAGCTGTGCATTGACGTTATTTGCATTCTTCTGCTAGGATTACTGAGCTCTTTTTGCCTTTTGCACAGTCAGGACGGATAGAGCAGGTTGGTAGTGTCTAAATGTGCAATGCTTTATACATTTGTAAAAATTCTTTAGTATGCACAGATATTATAAGTAATTTTGCGTGCAACAGGAATACAAACTTTTTAAAAGTCTGTAGGTGAAGATGAAAGGTAAAACTTGAGTTAAACTACGAGGGAATTAATATAATCTTAAATTTCTTTGGGAATGAACCTTTGCGGCGCCAGTGTTCAGCGAAATTTCCATTGATAATCGCTTCGAACATTAGACAACTTTTCATTTTTAAAGGAAGTAAAGGTGAAGTGTGAAGAACAGCTTATTACAGAAAGCAGACAAGAAGTCTTGCTCTTCTGAGATTTTGCACTTTATACCAATTGCTTATTGGCTCACAGTATTTAGAAGCAGCAGCGAGGACGTAAAGAATGTTTATGTCTCTGCCCCATTTGGGAGATGCTTTGCATCTCGAGGGGAAAATTTGGGGGAAAAACTGTCCTTTTAAACATAACAACAACGTGGGGGGGACTGCACTATTTCATTGACAAGTCTAATGAAATCTTTTAAGTGTGTAATTGCATATATTTAGTCAAATGTAATAGGTCAGAAGTCCAGTGTTATGGTTGTTTTATGATTTTTTTTTTCTATTAACTTTTTTACACAGTTACTGTATTTTGCAGGATTAATGTGATCCTGGGGAGGGGATTTAAGATTTTTTCTGACATGGCATCAGATAGCTGAGGGGGTTTTGTGAGATGCCTGTAGGGTCCTAAGCCACTTGTTCCGGAATAAACCCTCTTTAATATAGAGAAAGCATATGCTATGTGAGAAAGCATGGAATGAAGAAGAGATAAGTGAGGCACCCCAGTAATCGTTACTACCTGGGGCACAATTTGAGGAAGACCTGGCAAAATAGAAGTGTCTATAAACTTTTTGCCACTTTATTTTTTTGGAGTCCTTGCACGACTTTTTAATCCTACCTGATGAAGATCATGCATCTCAATAGCCTAAAAGGGAAGTGATAGTCTCAAGAGTTCGAAGCAGGGCTCTGCTTTTCTTTGAGTATTAGAGGAGAATGAAAACTTGGAAAGTTAAGAGTGCGTAGGTACCTAGGAATTGGCATTATGAGGTGGAGATGTTCCTTAATGTGGGGAAAACCTACAGTCTCCTAATTGAGCAGAGAAATAACAGTTTAGAAGAGAGCCTTGCTTTGATGTGTTAAAAAGATGGTATCTAGTTAGTTTGTATTGGTAAAACATTCATTCGTTCAGTTCAGTTTAATATAAGTATAAATATGTATTATGATATATGTGTGTATGTATATGGGTATATATATATACATGCATATGTATATATGTATATGTACACATAAACCAAAAACACCAAACCCATACCCAGTGAGTTAATTCGAACTCATAACAACCCTATAGGACAGAATAGAACTGCCCCATAGGGTTTCCAAGGGGCAGCTGGTGGATTCAAACTGCTGATCTTTTGGTTAGCCTCTGTAGCTCGCCATAGCTCTTAACCACTGCACCACATACATGTATATGGACACATACATACATATAGAGAATTTCTCCTAACATGATTTACCCATTACTACCTTTAGTGTATCTATTACTATATGTCGTGCACGGGATTTGGGGACACACAATAATATTTTAAATGTAGTCTTTTCCTTCAAGGAATTTGCCCATTGGGTTGGGGAAAGAAAGCATGGGTACAAATCACTGTAATATGAGGTAACTGGACAGGCATTGGAGAGAAATGTCACTATTGGCATTTAGAGAGAAGTGACCCAAGAAGGTTTCACGAAGAAGGAGGTGTTTAAGGAGCTTAAGGCCTTTGGAGCTTGGAGTCTAAATTAAATCAGGTTCCTTTTACCATCTTTTTGGGCTCTCTCATAAAGTAGCTAGCTCCCTCCTGGTAGAGCAAGTTTCTGAGTTGGGAAGCTAAAGGAGTTATTAGCATGGTACTCTTCCATGGTGACTGTGCCCAGAATGGATCAGGTACTGGTGGCCCTCATATCAATGCCCATTTACTCACGTGAGTTTCTTAATTAGGCCATGTTTGGAAGGTAGTTCTGGTGTGAGCACGAGGATCTGGCCCAAAGGGAAAATTCGTGATAGAAAGAAGTGGGCGATCATTTCAAAAATGGCAGAGGAGCCTTGGCCTGGACTTTAACTGTAGAATTGGCCTAATTCAGTTCCAGTATTCTCAAACGGCCAAACCATTTTTTGTTGTTGTTGTTGCAGTACCAAAATTCTTTGTAATACTATAACCCAATGAGATGGGAGGAAAAATGAAAGGTGGGTACAACCTCATAGTATTGAAGAATTTAACCACATGTTCAATTCAAGGGCCTTTACGAACTTTCTAGATCACTATAATTCGCTTTTACAGACCTCTAATTTAAGGCACAGCCGAGGCAAAAGAATTACAGACTCCTTGGGAGCTGGTAGGACTGGGTTACTTCTTTCCAGCCTTAACAACAGTGAGATTCCGAGAAAGAATTTCTTAAAAAGAAATTTTGCTTTCCACAGTTGTAACTTTAGGTGGTAGGCTTTTCAGCTTGTTTATATTAGCTGTCTGGGGTTGAGCTGACATTTTTCAAATATTAAAGTGGTAGAATGCCTTTTGAGGAAATCTGAAATGTAAGTTAACAGGAAGGGCACCCAGAAGGTGCAGGAATTCCTGCACATTACAGGAAGACAGGCTACAGGAAAAATGTGTCATCTACACGACCCCGAGAGAAAAAAACCATTGTTATCAACCATAATAATCTGGAGGGAGGGAGGGAGGGAAAGGGGGGGGGAGAGAGGGAGGCCTGACTTCGCCCAGTTCACCTGAAAATATACAAAAAGTTTGCCCCTGTTAAAATACTGCTTCCTATTCCTCCCCTATTCACTTTTAAACAAATGCTAGTTTATCCTAGTTTAATACAGTCATAGGTAAATCATGGTATGAGAAATGCCTATAAGGCATACTTCACAAGCATGTAAGAGCATGGTAGGAAAAGGCTTAACCCTACTATGAGTTCTTTGCTTCTGTATTTCATTTCGCCCTGGGAAATGAAATGTGTAAATTTCTCATTCTGTGGAAATTCCTTTGTTAGGTTGTACCAGACGGGCTTGTCATGCTTAGCCTGTAATCTGAGCCAGTATGTTTTATAACCACGTACATTTCAGGACACAAAATCAGAATAGTTACCTTGGGCTCCCTGAGCTTGTTTTGTATTATGGTTGCTTTCAGTACTTTACAGCCTATGCATGTTGCTAGTGGGAGATTTCAGGGGGATCTCTTGGTGGTCAATTTAGTGCTGGGGAAAAGCACTGAGAATCTCATGCTTTGTTTTTCAGAGATTAGTGTTATTTGAACCACTCCCCACTATTTTCAAATCTGAAAGATCTATGAGGAATATTTTTAAAATAAAAAAAACAGAAGTAATGAAATAATAAAGACAATATTAGAAATCAATAAAATAAAAAAAAAAATAAAAAAAATTACATAAGTAATACTTGTTCATTATAGACACATTTAAAAATATAGAAAAGGAAAGTAAAAATCACTAGTTAGCATGATATACATTTCGATATATATTCTTCTGGATTTTTTTCCTTTATATATGTATATGAAAAATCTAAAATATGTGTAAAACGAACGTCAATTTAGTTACTTTTTGTTTCACTTACCAATATGCTGTGAAATATTTCCAAGTTAATATTTTCTACATGTATAATATCCAATTCCATTGAATTTATTTCACTAGAACCCTATTGCTTAGTAATTTTCAATATTATCAGTAACACCATGATGATCATTCTAGTTCATACATCGTTGTGCATATTTTGGTCTTAGATTAAATGCCAGGAAGTAAAAGTATTGGTTATGGGTATCCAGTTCTTCCCCACTCCGCATTCTCTGCTCCACCTTATGAAAATAGCTTTATAATAATAATGATAGTAATGATATATATGCATTCAAGAATTTAGACAATAGATCAATTCATAGTAGGAATGTAAAAACCACTCACTCAAAGTCATACCGTCCGGTGCTAATTACTGTTAACTTTTGGGTGACAATCTCTCTGCATCTGTACACGCGTGCACACCCACACCCACACCCACACCCACACACACACATGCAGTTTTACATACTGTGTGTGATATATTGCGACTTGCTTTTTATACCCTACTATATATCTTGGACCTCTTTCTGTATCTGTACACATAAAGTTTCTTGAATCTTTTTCTGACAATTGCATATTCGAATTTATAAGAATGTAAGCATTTATTTAACCAGTCTCTCATGAAATTTTGCATAGTTTCCTTCTTTTTTTTTTTAACAACAATTTTGCATAGTTTCCTTCTTTTTTTTTTTTTTAACAACTATAAACAATACTACAAGGAATACCTTGAACATACACCTTCGCACACTTGTCCAGTTATCTCTTTAAGGTGAATTTCTACAAGTGGCAGTGCTAGGTCAAAGCGCATGCGTGAATATATTACCAAACTGACTCCCAGAGAGTAACTGTAATTCCCATTCCCACCAATAATGTTTGGGAGTGCACATTTCTGTCCTTTTAAGCATTACGGTAACTATTGCCAAATAAATTGCTCTCTAGAAAGCTTATGCCAATTACAACCCTACCTTCCTTCATCCTGGGTATAATAATTTGAAAATATTGTTGCCAATTCGATAAAAGGTATTAATACGTTACTCTCATTTGCATTTTTTAGTACTGAG